GCGGCTGAGCCGTTGTTGCTCCTAGAAGTTTCCACTTCACAATAACAGCACTTACAGTTGACCGGGGCAGCTCTAGCAAGGCAGAAGTTTGACGAACTGACTTGTTGGAAAGGTGGCATCCTATGACAGTGCCATGTTGAAAGTCACTGAGCTCTTCAGTAAGGCCATTCTACTACCAATGCTTGTCTGTGGAGATTGCATGGCTGTGTGCTCAATTTTATACACCTGTCAGCAATGGGTGTGGCTGAAATAGCCCGAATCCACTAATTTGAAGGGGTGTTCACAGACTTTTGTATATATAGTGTATATATAGGGGTAAGGAGATTAGGCAACAGGATGTAAGATAAACAGAGTTGCAGCAGCTTGTATGTGAGTGGGTGTGCGGGTGTGTAGAGTCAGTATAAATGTATTTGCATATTATGTGTGAGTGAGAAAAATGATGGAGTGAGTGTTTGTGTGTGTGTTGGAGTGACAGTGTGTGTGAGTGTGTAGGGCCCTGTGAGTGTGGATAGAGAGAGTGCAAAAATGGAAATTAAAGGTCAATAAAGATACAAGGTTAACTCAGTCTGTGTAGCTATTTTGTTAGCTATTTATCCGTTGTATTGCTTGGGGATAGAAGCTATTCAAGAGCCTGTTGGTGTCAGACTTGATGCACCGGTACCTCTCGCCGTGCGGCAGCAGAGAAAATAGTCCATGGCTTGTGTGGTTGGAGTCTTTAATGATTTTCCAGGCCTTCTTTTCGCGTCACCTGATATAGACGTCCTGGATGGCAGGGAGCTCGGCCCCAGCGATGTACTGGGCTGTCCGCACAACCCTCTGTGGCGCCATGCGATCGAGGGTGGTGCTATTGCCATACCAAGCAGTGACGCAGCCAGTCAATATGCTCTCAATGATACAGCCGTAGAACCTTTTGAAGATTTTGGCTTTATTACAGACAGAAATACTCCTCAGTTTCATCAGCTGTCCAGGGTGGCTGGTCTCAGACCATCCCTCAGGTGAAGGGATGTAGCTCAGTTGGTAGAGCATGGCGTTTGCAACGCCAGGGTTGTGGGTTCGATTCCCACGGGGGGGCCAGTATGAAAAATAAAATTAAAATAAAGATAATGTAAGTCGCTCTGGATAAGAGCGTCTGCTAAATTACTAAAAATGTAAAAAATATAAGAAGCAGGATGTGGAGGTCCTGGGCTGGCGTGGTTACACGTGGTCTGTGGTTGTGAGGCCGGTTGGACGTTCTGCCAAATTCTCTAAATCAGCTTATGGTAGAGAAATTAGCGTTAAATTATCTGGCAATAGCTCTGGTGGACATTCCTGCAGTCCGCATGCCAATTGCACACTCCCTCAAAACTTGAGACATCTGTAGCATTGTGTTGTGTGACAAAACTGCACATTTTAGAGTGGCCTTTTATTGTACCCAGCACAAGGTGCACTTGTGTAATAATCATGCTGTTTAATCAGCTTCTTGATATGTCACACATGTCAAGTGTCAAGTGTAGCTCAGTTGGTAGAGCATGGCGCTTGTAACGCCATGGTTGTGGGTTTGTTTCCCACGGTGGGCCAGTACGAAAATGTATGCACTCACTATCTAAGCTGCTCTGGATAAGAGCGTCTGCTAAATGACTAAAATGTCAAATAAAAAAATTGTCTTGGCGAAGGAGAAATGCTCACTAACAGGGATGTGAACAACTTTCTTCATGAAATTTAAGATAAATAAGCTTTTTGTGCGTATAGAAAATGTCTGGGATCTTTTATTTCAGCTCATGAAACATGGGACCAACACTTACATGTTGCGTTTATATTTTTGTTCAGTATATACTTTTTTTTCCTCACCCATCTACACACAATACCCCATGACAAAGTGAAAACAGGTTTTCAGCAATTTTTGCAAATGTATTGACAATTAATTACAGCAATTTCTAATTTACATAAGTATTCACACCCATGAGTCAATACATGTTAGAATCATCTTTAGCAGCGATTACAGCTGTGAGTCTTTCTGAGTCTCTAAGAGCTTTGCACACCTGGATTGTACAAAATTTGCCCATTATTCTTTTCAAAATTCTTCAAGCTCTGTCAAATTGGTTTTTGATCATTGCTAGACATCCATTTTCAAGTCTTGCCATAGATGTTCATGCAGATTTAAGTCAAAACTGTAACTTGGCCACTCAGGAACATGCACCGTCTTCTTGGTAAGCAACTCCAGTGTAGATTTGGCCTGGTGTTTTAGGTTAATGTTATTTCAGCTTTTCCATCGTTTTCTCTATCACATGGCGGCCTCCGGTTCACTTGCTTTCTCCATAACGACTCAGGAGTTCCATGACTTTCAGCCCCCCTTAATGAAGAACCCGGTGTGCCTAAGAAAAGCCACGGGGCTTAACGGAATCAAAGCTGACATTCTCGAGCTCCGGGCCCCACAAGAGCCGCTCAACGCGCTTTGCAGTGCGGAGAGCGCGAATGAAAGGCCGCACTTCAGCTGTTCTGCAGGAGCAACGCGATCATATGATTCAGCATATTCAGGGGCTAATCGGTAATGCTATTAGAACCAGTGTGATAGGCAGTGGTGGCTGCACTCCACAAGACCAAAAAGCCAAGGGAGTTTAAACGGATGTATTGCTGCGATTATTCGGCCAAATAGGCCTATCTTTATCCCACATTTAGATAAGCTGCTAATGACGGAGGTAAAGCGGTCCCGATGCAATCCAACGAAAAGGCCACGCAACCCTGAAAACAAGGGGCCTGCCTTGTGAGAAGAAATAGCGTTTTTATCCAGAACAAGAAATAGGCATTTTGAAACAGCAGATCAAAAATCAACAGAGCACCGTGCCAGGAATGCCCATAGTTGAAAAACAGTGACTAGTCTACATATTACAATTTAGGCTATTCAGTGAGGAGAACATTTTGTTACAAAAATGAACATAATTTCTTAAGACATGGCGTTAGTTATGGGTTTGAGTCTAAGGAGCTGGGCTTCTACTAAGCTAAAATATGAATTGTTAAGATGGTCATAGCAAAAATCACTAGTTGATTTTGAATTTTAGTAGAAGGTATAAAAAATAAAAATAAATATTTGATGAAAGAATGAATTTGGCCTTACTGCCATTAGTCCATAGAAACACATTGAATAACAGATTAATATGGTCAAACAGATAGTTCAAAACATATATATCAAAAGGAAGTATATTTTTTAAGTGTCTGTCCTATATCTGAGAGATAAGAAAGCTCAGGATATATATTTTTTTTTTTCTTCAGAGGAATGACCCATATACCTTTGACGTGGAAATGCCCTATTCACTTCCATAAATTTTTCGGCCCGGTAATGGTTTACCTTCAGACAAGTCCCATGACACATGTGGGCCGTAGAGCAAAACGGAGCACGCCATCTTGTTCGTGAGAGTCAAATTTTTCTAGAGGGGTCATATTAATTTGTAACCCAAACCGTTCTGACAAACACCGTTGTAGCTCTGACACCTTCCACCGCAGACGCGGAAGGCCGACATCGGCCATGCAACAAAAAAAAAATGACAGATTTTGACGGGATTTTTTTATTATGCTAATTAATTGATATGACTCTAGGGGAAAATGTAACAAGCCAAAAAGAAAAGTAACAAATCTAGGGTTTTGCATGATGTATTAATTGTATCTGATAATTGACAGTGATGCTGCAAAGTAGGCCTAAAGCATGCTGTACCATTTTTGACAAGTGTTACAAGAGGAGGATTTTACACCTGTAACAAATTAAGTAACAGTTACTATTAACACAACTAGCAAAAGTCAAGTTGGCACAGACGGTGTTTTTGGTCAGTAAAAACCCTATTGCAGCTGAAATAGGCCTAGTTTGTTGGAAATGTATTGTTAAGCAAAAGGGAAGCCACTTCTGAGGCAATAATACAGATACATAATTACATCAAATTGCATCTATTGCCACAAACTATTCACATGATCAAATATAACAAAAACACATTAACTGAACCAAGTCCAGCATGTGATAACCAGTGTGAAAGGACATAAAGACATTAACAGCTCTCTGTGCAAAGAAAAACAACCCACATAGGCTTGAAAGAGCTGGCTCACTCTCGCTTCTGTGATATCATGGAGTGCTTTCACCTTGCTATATATATATTTTTTATTTTACATTTCTCTCCATCTCAGCTGTCATCCCCTTATACACGGCAGGCATGTCACAACTAATGGACATCAAGTGCTTTCTGCCTGTCTGTCGTCTGTCTTTCACAGCAGAGTTACATCTAGTCACACAAAGAAAAATAATAATGCACACAAAAACATCCTTCAACTACCCATTGCCGATAAATCAGTAGTCATCATGGTGCATCTCCAGTCCAACTTGTGGGACTGTCTTTCGTTGTAGAAGCAATAGGTGAGGTGGGGCTAGGGGGTTCAAAGAACAGTGCAATTTCATTTCAGCAAAAAAAAATGTGTTCATTATTTTAGTTTGCTATATCTTAGAAAGAAAACCTCAATACTAATGATTGGTATCCTCCTCTCCCACAGGGGGCGCTCTTTTTGAATCCTATGTCATTAGAGCTGGGGTGTATTCATTATGCAAATTCTGTTGCAAAACGTTTTGTCCGTTGCAAAACGTTTTGCAAAAGAAAACGTTTACTCCAAACGGAAAACGTTTTGCAATGAAAACAAGAGTTTCTATTGGACAAATTCAGGTAGGTCCCTCCCCATTCCATTCAATTTGCTCCTGTTTGGTTATTAAACGGTAAACAGTTTCCGTTGCAAGACGTAATGAATACACCCCTGTCTGAAACCACAGCCATAGATTAAATTACATGTTACATTTGCATCCAGGAGAGGTTTTGGACAAACCAAAGGAACAAGGGGCGAGGAAACAAAGATTCCTCCTCTTTGTCTGGTACGGAAATTGTAATATCGCTCAGGGCACCAAAGGAATAGAGCCAAACAATCCTTTGTCCCAGCGGTGGAAACCATGTGTTTGATACCATTCCACCTATTCCGCTCCAGCCGTTACCACGAGCCGTCCTCCCCATTTAAGGCACACCAACCTCCTGTGTGACCTACAGCTAACATTGTAGTTGACAGAGTGTTCTGTAGTCTATAGCATATATACTGTACAGATGATCATTGATCGCTCATGAACTGTACTTTTCTACCTGTATTTATTGTCTGTATATGTCCTTTGTCTATCGTTGATTGTGTTTTTATGTATGCACAGAGCCACAACCAACATTTCTCCATCGGGATAATAAAGTCATTATCTTCTCTATCTTATCCTCATTCCCTTCCATTTCTTCCTCATCCCTCCCTCTCCTCAGCTGAACTTGTCCTGGATGTTCATGAAGCTGGTGTTGGACTTGGCTCGTTTGGCTGGAGAGGAAGAAGGAACATTGTAACTGTTAGCCACCACACATGGCAGCTCTACACAACATTTAACACAGGAACATTTCATCTAAGACCATTGCTTCACCATAATGACATGCGTCAAATAAACAACGTAAGGTATTGCTCTTCGACTCCCCGGCCTAGATCATTAGTAGGCCCAAACCCACTATTTACAAGGACACCATTAAACCTCTCCCCCACTCCCAACCCTTAAGAAGAACTACCTCACCCCTCCTTTACAAGTCAACATTATTAGGGACACTCCTTAAGGAACTCCCACCTCCCCTTCGATACAATCTCTATAAACCAGGAGCATGCATGCAGGAGACACCCCGACTTACATACATTCTTCACATGAAAAATCTGGGGACCCCACCACCCCCACCCCAGTATACATCCACCCAACCCCACACACCCCTCCAACCAACCCGTCAAAGAATCTCTCTGCGCAACAATGGGTGAATTAAGCTGGTTACTCACGGTGTATGAGCTTGCGTTTCTTTTGTTCAGAGTGAAGGAAGCTGCTCAAGTAGAAGATGACGGGCAGAAAGAGCATGAAGCTGGACACGGCAATGACAGGAACAGTCTCCGCCCGGGGGAAGGAACAATTGAAATTCTTGCTCCACAGTATGCGGGTCATATTCATCTGAAACAAGACAAGGCAAGATCCCCCCCACCATCAACACAACAACACAGGAGCTTAAAGAAATACAAAAGGGGACACAGTCTGTCTCTCTCTCTCGCGCCCACTTGTCTATTTGAGTCTATCACTCTTTTCTATCCATCTGACTCCCTTGCTCCATCGCTGGCCTTCTGTCCCTAGTGCCCTTCTAGTTTCTACGTCACTTCTTCCTTTGAAACTCGCTGGCACTACCAGAACTGTAGTACGTCCTAATAACCTCTCCTTGTCCTGAAGTGTGCACCTGTTCACTACTCCCCACAAGTTTAAAAGCATTGGATTGGTGTTGGCATGGGCTAGACGGGAGTTTCCATACCAGTCATTTTCTTTTCAAATCCATGTAGGGAAGTGAACAAGTGCACACTTCGGGAGAAAGAGAGATAATTGGGATGCCACCCTGGTGACATCTCTCTCATTTCTTTCTCAATGACTGTGTTTACACAGGCAGCACAATTCTGATCTTTTGCTCAATTATTGGCAAAAGATCTGATCAGATTATTCAAAAGACTAACTAGTGGCAGAAAAAAATCAGAATTGGGCTGCCTGTATAAATCGCAGCCTTAGAGCCCCCTAGGGAGTGCCGTTTCACATCTTCCACATTTCTATTTGTAGTGCTCTCACTGAGGTGGAGAAAATGGCTAAACTTTACATTCTCCAATGTATTCTGCAGCCTCCTGGGCACTAGTGCGCAAACAGAGTTATACCAGTGGTCCTCTGTAGCTCAGTTGCTAGAGCATGGCGCTTGCAACGCCAGTATAGTGGGTTCGCTTCCCAGGACCACCCATACGTAAAATGTATGCATGCATGACTGTAAATCGCTTTGGATAAAACCCTCTGCTAAATGGCATATATTATAATATTACCATAAATAGCAAGAAAGGCATTGTGTGACAGTCTTGAGAGTGTATTCCATATATTTTGTGGACATGAATGTAGTCTCACGTGGCCATCCTTCAAAATCTCGTCTCGTTGACTCGACTATTGGAAGTCTGTAGTACTTCAGTATTGCATTTTGCATTTGAATGGAAGTACTGGCATTCAACGCTTGCATTGGATTGGCTCTGACTAGAAAGGCATTTCCTTGTTTTTCCTCATTTTGTCCGTGTCTCTTTTCCTACCGTGTCAGACAAGTTTTGATCTTATGCTGGCTTGTTGCAAGTCAGAAAAAATGTTTAGAAACAACCTCTGTTTGGGACTCCACCCATGCAGAAGTTGATTGGTTTGATAATTGGCAACGCGTCACTAGTTTCCATCTAGACGATCGTCTCTCTGAGGAGAACTTTACTAGGCATGTGGGAAGCCTGGGCTTCCAAAGCTAAAAGTTTTTTTTAAATCTTGCTTTGTTTGCTCTTTTCATTAATACGTCTATCTCTGATAAGCTACCCAGGAAAGTGCAGAAAATAGCCCATATTAATATATGTAGCCTTAGAAATAAGGTTCATGAAATCAATAACTTGCTAACATCAGATAAAATTAATATATTAGCCATTTCTGAGATAATTCATTTGATGATACAGCAGTAGCAATACAAGAATATAACATCTATAGAAGAGCCAGAAATGCTTATGGGGGAGGTGTTGCTGTATATATATATATATATACACACACAGTGGGGAAAAAAAGTATTTAGTCAGCCACCAATTGTGCAAGTTCTCCCACTTAAGAAGATGAGAGAGGCCTGTAATTTTCATCATAGGTACACGTCAACTATGACAGACAAAATGAGAGAAAATATTTCCAGAAAATCACATTGTAGGATTTTTAATGAATTTATTTGCAAATTATGGTGGAAAATAAGTATTTGGTCAATAACAAAAGTTTCTCAATGCTTTGTTATATACCCTTTGTTGGCAATGACACAGGTCAAACGTTTTCTGTAAGTCTTCACAAGGTTTTCACACACTGTTGCTGGTATTTTGGCCCATTCCTCCATGCAGATCTCCTCTAGAGCAGTGATGTTTTGGGGCTGTCGCTGGGCAACACAGACTTTCAACTCCCTCCAAAGATTTTCTATGGGGTTGAGATCTGGAGACTGGCTAGGCCACTCCAGGACCTTGAAATGCTTCTTACGAAGCCACTCCTTCATTGCCCAGGCGGTGTGTTTGGGATCATTGTCATGCTGAAAGACCCAGCCACGTTTCATCTTCAATGCCCTTGCTGATGGAAGGAGGTTTTCACTCAAAATCTCACGATACATGGCCCCATTCATTCTTTCCTTTACACGGATCAGTCGTCTTGGTCCCTTTGCAGAAAAACAGCCCCAAAGCATGATGTTTCCACCCCCATGCTTCACAGTAGGTATGGTGTTCTTTGGATGCAACTCAGCATTCTTTGTCCTCCAAACACAACGAGTTGAGTTTTTATCAAAAAGTTCTATTTTGGTTTCATCTGACCATATGACATTCTCCCAATCCTCTTCTGGATCATCCAAATGCACTCTAGCAAACTTTAGACGGGCCTGGACATGTACTGGCTTAAGCAGGGGGACACGTCTGGCACTGCAGGATTTGAGTCCCTGGCGGCGTAGTGTGTTACTGATGGTAGGCTTTGTTACTTTGGTCCCAGCTCTCTGCAGGTCATTCACTAGGTCCCCCCGTGTGGTTCTTGTGATCATTTTGACCCCACGGGGTGAGATCTTGCGTGGAGCCCCAGATCGAGGGAGATTATCAGTGGTCTTGTATGTCTTCCATTTCCTAATAATTGCTCCCACAGTTGATTTCTTCAAACCAAGCTGCTTACCTATTGCAGATTCAGTCTTCCCAGCCTGGTGCAGGTCTACAATTTTGTTTCTGGTGTCCTTTGACAGCTCTTTGGTCTTGGCCATAGTGGAGTTTGGAGTGTGACTGTTTGAGGTTGTGGACAGGTGTCTTTTATACTGATAACAAGTTCAAACAGGTGCCATTAATACAGGTAACGAGTGGAGGACAGAGGAGCCTCTTAAAGAAGAAGTTATAGGTCTGTGAGAGCCAGAAATCTTGCTTGTTTGTACATGACCAAATACTTATTTTCCACCATAATTTGCAAATAAATTCATAAAAAATCCTACAATGTGATTTTCTGGATTTTTTTTCCTCAATTTGTCTGTCATGTTGACGTGTACCTATGATGAAAATTACAGGCCTCTCATCTTTTTAAGTGGGAGAACTTGCACAATGTGGCTGACTAAATACTTTTTTTCCCCACTGTATATATACAGTGAGGGAAAAAAGTATTTGATCCCCTGCTGATTTAGTAAGTTTGATCATTTCTTTGTCAGTGGGCAGTCTATAATTTTAATGGTAGGTTTATTTGAACAGTGAGAGACAGAATAACAACAAAAAAATCCAGAAAAATGCATATAAAAAATGTTATAAAGTGATTTGCTTTTTAATGAGGGAAATAAGTATTGACCCCTCTGCAAAACATGACTTAGTACTTGGTGGCAAAACCCTTGTTGGCAATCACAGAGGTCAGACGCTTCTTGTAGTTGGCCACCAGGTTTGCACACATCTCAGGAGGGATTTTGTCCCACTCCTCTTTGCAGATTTCTCCAAGTCATTAAGGTTTCGAGGCTGACATTTGGCAACTCGAACCTTCAGCTCCCTCCACATATTTTCTATGGGATTAAGGTCTGGAGACTGGCTAGGCCACTCCAGGACCTTAATGTGCTTCTTCTTGAGCCACTCCTTTGTTGCCTTGGCCGTGTGTTTTGGGTCATTGTCATGCTGGAATACCCATCCACGACCCATTTTCAATGCCCTGGCTGAGGGAAGGAGGCCCTGGCCCCGTCCATCGTCCCTTTGATGCGGTGAAGTTGTCCTGTCCCCTTAGCAGAAAAACACCCCCAAAGCATAATGTTTCCAACTCCATGTTTGACGGTGGGGATGGTGTTCTTGGGGTCATAGGCAGCATTCCTCCTCCTCCAAACACGGCGAGTTGTATATGTGCTTTCTTGAGCAGGGGGACCTTGCGGGAGCTGCAGGATTTCAGTCCTTCACGGCGTAGTGTGTTACCAATTGTTTTCTTGGTGACTATGGTCCCAGCTGCCTTGAGATCATTGACAAGATCCTCCTGTGTAGTTCTGGGCTGATTCCTCACCGTTCTCATGATCATTGCAACTCCACGAGGTGAGATCTGCATGGAGCCCTAGGCCGAGGGAGATTGACAGTTCTTTTGTGTTTCTTCCATTTGCGAATAATCGCACCAACTGTTGTCACCTTCTCATCAAGCTGCTTGGCTATGGTCTTGTAGCCCATTCCAGCCTTGTGTAGGTCTACAATCTTGTCCCTGACATCCTTGGAGAGCTCTTTGGTCTTGGCCATGGTGGAGAGTTTGGAATCTGATTGATTGATTGCTTCTGTGGACAGGTGTCTTTTATACAGGTAACAAACTGAGATTAGGAGCACTCCTTTTGCCCACCCAAGTACTAAGTCATGTTTTGCAGAGGGGTCAAATACTTATTCCCTCATTAAAATGCAAATTATAACTTTTTTGACATGCGTTTTTCTGGATTTTTTTGTTGTTATTCTGTCTCTCACTGTTCAAATAAACCTACCATTAAAATTATAGACTGAGCATTTCTTTGTCAGTGGGCAAACGTACAAAATCAGCAGGGGATCAAATACTTTTTTCCCTCACTGTGTGTATGTATGTATATATATATATATATATATATATATATATATTTTTTTTTTTTTCAGAGCTATATCCCTGTAATGCTTAGAGAAGTATCAAGTGTTAACGTTGAGTGTTATTGAAGCGTTGTGGTTGCAGGTTCACTTGCCACACCTAAAGCCTTTTTTTGGGGGGGTGTTGCTATAGGCCACCAAGTGCGAACAGTCATTATCTAAATAATATGTGTGAAATGCTTGATAGTGTATGTGATGTAAACAGAGAGGTCTACTTTCTTGGGGACCTGAATATTGACTGGTTTTGATGAAGCGGTCTGCTCAAGATGAAGCTTCTTACTGTAACCAGTGCCTGTAATCTGGTTCAGGTTATTAAATCAACCTACCAGGGTGTTCACAAACACTACAGGAACAAGGTCATTCACATTTTTACTAATACTGTAGAACATTGTTCTAAAGCTGTATCCGTACTCATTGGATGCAGTGATCACAATATAGTGGCTATATCCAGGAAAGCCAAAGTTCCAAAAGCTGGGCCTAAAATAGTGTATAAGAGATCATACAAAAGATTATGCTGTGACTCATGTGGATGATGTAAAAAATATTTGTTGGTCTGATGTGATTAATAAGGAGCATCCAGACGCTGCGCTTGATTAATTTATGAAATTGCTTCTTCCAATTATTGATAAACATGCACCTGTTAAGAAACTGTCTGTTAGAACTGTTAAGGCTCCATGGATTGATGAGGAATTGAAAATCTGTATGGTTGAAAGAGATGGGGCAAAAGGAGTGGCTAATAAGTCTGGCTGCACATCTGACTGGTTGACTTACTGCAAATTGAGAAATTATGTGACTAAACTCAACAAAAGATGAATAAACTGTATTATGAAGCCAAGATCAATGATATAAAGAATGATGGAAAACAACTTTGGAGAACTTTAAATGAAATTATGGGCAGAAAGACAAATTCAACTCCATCTTTCATCGAATCAGATGGCTTATTCATCACAAAACCATTTGATGTTGCCAATTATTTAAATGATTACTTCATTGGCAAAGTGGGCAGACTTAGGCAGGAAATGCCAACAATGAACAGTGAGCCATCGTATTCATGCATAAAAAAACAAATAACGAAATTAAAGTTTGAATTTTGTAAAGTTTGTGTGGGAGAGGTGAAAAAATTATTGTTATCGATCAATAATGACAAACCTCCTGCATTGACAACTTCAATGGAAAGCTACTGAGGATGGTAGCTGACTCTATAGCCACTCCTATCTGTCATATATTTAATCTGAGCCTAGAGGAAAGTCTTTGACTTCAGGCCTGGAGGGAAGCCAAAGTAATTCCACTACCCAAGAATGGTAAAGCGGCCTTTACTGGTTCTAACAGCAGATCTATAAGCTTGCTGCCAGCTCTTAGCAAACGGTTGGAAAAAATAGTGTTTAACCAAATACAATGCTATTTCTCTGTAAACAAATTAACAACAGACTTTCAGCATGCTTATAGGGAAGGGCACTCAACATGTACTGCACTGACACAAATGACTGAAAGTTTCCCGAGTGGCGCAGTGGTCTAAGGCACTGCATCGCAGTACTAGCTGTGCCACTAGAGATCGTGGTTCGAATCCAGGCTCTGTCGTAGCCGGCCGCGACCGGGAGACCCATGGGGCGGGGCACAATTAGCCCAGCGTCGTCCAGGGTAGGGGAGGGCATGGCCGGCAGGGATGTAGCTCAGTTGGTAGAGCATGGCGTTTGCAACGCCAGGGTTGTGGGTTCGATTCTCACGGGGGCCAGTATAAAAAATAAAAATAATGTATGCACTCACTAACTGTAAGTCGCTCTGGATAAGAGCGTCTGCTAAATGACTAAAATGTAAAATGTAATTGGTTGAAAGAAATTGATAATAAGAAGATTGTGGGAGCTGTACTGTTAGATTTCAGTGCAGCCTTTGATATTATTGACCATAACATGTTGTTGAAAAAACGTATGTGTTATGACTTTTCAACCTCTGCCATATTGTGGATTAAGAGCTATCTAATAGAACTCAAAGGGTTTTCTTTAATGGAAGCTTCTCTAATGTCAAACATAAAGTGTGGTGTACCACAGGACAGCTCTCTAGGCCCTCTACTCTATTTTTACCAATGACCTGCCACTGGCATTAAACAAAGCATGTGTGTCCATGTATGCTGATGATTCAACCATATACGCATCAGCAACCACAGCTAATGAAGTCACTGAAACCCTTAACAAATAGTTGCAGTCTGTTTTGGAATGGGTGGCCACTAATAAACTGGTCCTGAACATCTATAAAACTAAGAGCATTGTATTTGGTACAAATCATTCCCTAAGTTCTAGACCTCAGCTGAATCTGGTAATGAATGGTGTGGCTGTTGAACAAGTTGAGGAGACTAAATTACTTGGCGTTACCTTAGATTGTAAACTATCATGGTCAAACTCTGGATAAGAGCGTCTGCTAAATGACTAAAATGTAAAATGTAAATGTAAAACATATAGATTCAATGGTTGTAAAGATGGGGAGAAGTCTGTCTGTAATAAAGAGATGCTCTGCTTTTTTGACACAAAACTCCAAAAAGCAAGTTCTGCAGGCTCTAGTTTAGTCTAATCTTGATTATTGTCCAGTTGTGTAGTACAGTGCCGCACGGAAATACCTAGTTAAGCTGCAGCTGGTCCAAAACAGAGCGGCACGTCTTGCTCTTCATTGTAATCAGAGGGCTGATATAATATAATATAATAATATAATATGCCATTTAGCAGACGCTTTTATCCAAAGCGACTTACAGTCATGCGTGCATACATTTTTTTTTTGTGTATGGGTGGTCCCGGGGATCGAACCCACTACCTTGGCGTTACAAGCGCCGTGCTCTACCAGCTGAGCTACAGAGGACCACATAAATACTATGCATGCCAGTCTCTCTTGGCTAGGAGTTGAGGAGAGACTGACTGCATCACTTCTTTTTATAAGAAACATTAGTGTTGAAAATCCCAAATTGTTTGCATAGTCAACTTACACACAGCTCTGACACACACACTTACCCCACCAGACATTTCACAGTCCCCAAATCCAGAACAAATTCAAGAAACCTACAATATTATATAGAGCCATTATTGCAAGGAACTCCGTTCCATCTCATATTGCTCAAATAAACAGCAAACCTGGTTTAAAAAAACAGATACAGCAACACCTCACGGCACAACGCCTCTCCCCTATTTGACCGAGATAGTTTGTGTGTATGTATTGATATGTAGGCTACGTGTGCCTTTTTAAAAAATGTATGTAGTTCTGTCCTTGAGCTGTTCTGGTCTATTAATGTTCTGTATTATGTCATGTTTCATGTTTTGTGTGGACACCAGGAAGAGTAGCTGCTGCTTTTGCAACAGCTACTGGGGATCCTAATAAAATACCAAACATGAATTTCAAAGCGCAAGGTGTAATGACAACCTGTGGCTGAGAAATACAGTTCCAGTCAAAAGTTTGGACACACCTACTCATTCAAGGGTTTTGCTTTATTTTTACTATATTGTAGAAAAATAGTGAAGACATCAAAACTATGAATTAACACATATGGAGTCATGTAGTAACCAAAAAAGTGTTAAATGAATCAACATTTATTTTAGAATCTCTCAACCAGCTTCATGAGGAATGCTTTTCCAACAGTCTTGAAGGAGTTCCCACAAATTCTGAGCACTTGTTGGCTGCTTTTCCTTCACTCTGCAGTCCAACTCATCCCAAACCATCTCAATTGGGTTGAGGTCAGGTGATTGTGGAGGCCAGGTCATCTGATGCAGCACGCCATCACTCTCCTTATTGGTCAAATAGCCCTTACACAGCCTGGAGGTGTGTTTTGGGTCGTTGTCCTGTTGAAAAACAAATGATAGTCCCACTAAGCCCAAACCAGATGGGATGACGTATCGCTGCAGAATGCTGTGGTAGCCATGCTGGTTAAGTGTGCCTTGAATTCTAAATAAATCACAGACAGTGTCACCAGCAAAGCACCCCCACACCTCCTCCTCCATGCTTCACGATGGGAACCACACATGCGGAGATCATCCGTTCACCTATTCTGCGTCTCACAAAGACACGGCGGTTGGAACCAGAAATCTCAAATTTTGACTCATCAGACCAAAGGACAGATTTCCACCGGTCCATTGCTCGTGTTTCTTGGCCCAAGCAAGTCTCTTCTTATTATTGGTGTCCTTTAGTAGTGGTTTCTTTGCAGCAATTTGACCATGAAGGCCTGATTCACGCAGACTCCTCTGAACAGTTGACGTTGAGATGTGTCTGTTACTTGAACGCTGTGAAGCATTTATTTGGGCTGTAATCTGAGGTGCAGTTAATTGCTGATTTCTGAGGCTGGTAACTAACTTATCCTCTGCAGCAGATGTAACTCATGAGAGCCAGTTTAATCATAGCGCTTTATGGTTTTTGCGACTGCACATGAAGAAACTTTCAAAGTTCTTGACATTTTCTGGATTGACAGACCATGTCTTAAAGTAATGATGGACTGTCGTTTCTCTTTGCTTATTTGAGCTGTTCTTGCCATATTATGGACTTGGTCTTTTACCAAATAGGGCTATCTTCTGTATACCACCCCTACCTTGTCACAACACAACTGATTGGCTCAAATGCATTAAGGAAAGAAATTCCATAAATTAACTTTTAACAAGGCACACCTGTTAATTGAAATGCAGTTCAGGTGACTACCTCATGAAGCTGGTTGAGAGAATACCAAGAGTGTGCAACGCTGTAATCAAGGCAAAGGGTTGATACTTTGAATATAAATTATATTTTGATTTGTTTAATGCTTTTTTGGTTACTATTATTCCATATGTGTTATTTCATAGTTTTGATGTCTTTACTATTATTCTACAATGTAGAAAATAGTAAAAATAAAGAAAAACCCTGGAATGAGTAGGTGTGTCCAAACTTTTGACTGGTACTGTACATACCGAGTCCTCGATGTCGATGCAGAGGGTGTGATTCTTCTCCATGCGGCTGTACAGCTCATTCAGTCCTCTGTATGTGGCCTTACATTCCTTACAAAGCTCTGAGTGGTTGCCCTGCTAAATCACACAAAGTGGAAACAGTTCAGTTATCTATAAACTTCATTTCAGAACTTAACATTCCACTCTCCCTCCCTAGTGGCTTTAGATGGGTTTTGGTACCGACTAGATAAAAAAATCTCTGCCCTGCAATAGGGACCCACCTTCTGGTACTTCTCGAAGCAGCTGAGGGACTGGTTCAGAGTTGCCATGAAGTAAAGGGTGTCATTGGTCAGGCTGTGGTGTCCTGGGCTTACACAACCTTAGAGACAGGAAGTCAGATATCATTCTGAAATCATGAACCATGGCAGGGTTAAAGATCAAACTTGTATACTCTGCCTCCTGGCTTTCACTTATCAATTATTTTCATAGCATCGATCACAAACGAAATGAGACAAGGAGAGGAAGTAAGAAACTTGAGACATAGAAAATAACAAAGCTAATAATATAGACAGGAGTACATGGAGTATCAGCATATAACAAATAATTCAATGTGTTGATAATACAAGGCAGTCCACCTACGGTTACATTCTGAAGCAGTCCAGATGTCCTCCAGGTTATTGTAGAGCAGGAACACCAGCATCAGCCTATCAGAACGCAGTAGGCTGTCTCTGCAGCTCACATTCCCTGGGCCCATCTGGAAACAGATGCACAAGCAGTCTCACTGAGGGTGTTCAAGATCCCACGTGTTTAGGCCTACTGGTTAGAATATATATTATATTGAGGATTCAGTGTTAACAGCTTGAAGTGCTGAGAAACTAAAGGCCACCAAAAATTCAGAAATGTCCATCCCGAACTACAACATTTTCCGTCTAGATAGAACTGCCAAAGGGAGCGGAGTTGCAATCTACTGTAGAGATAGCCTGCAGAGCTCTATCATACTATCCAGGTCTGTGCCCAAACAGTTTGAGCTTCTACTTCTAAAAATCCACCTTTCCAGAAATAAGTCTCTCACTGTTGCCGCTTACTACAGACCCCCCCTCAGCCCCCAGTTGTGCCCTGGACACCATATGTGAATTGCTTGCCCCCCATCTATCCTCAGAGTTTGTACTGCTTGGTGACCTAAACTGGGATATGCTTAACACCCTGGCCATCCTACAATCCAAACTAGATGCCCTCAATCTCACACAAATTATCAAGGAACCTACCAGGTACAACCCTAAATCTGTAAACATGGGCACCCTCAGATAACATCCTGACTAATTTACCCTCTAAATACACCTCCGCTGTCTTCAACCAGGATCTCAGGGATCACTGCATCATTGCCTGCGTCCGTAATGGGTCCGCGGTCAAACAATCACCACTCATCACTGTCATACGCTCCCTAAAACACTTCAGCGAGCAGGCCTTTCTAATTGACCTGGCCCGGGTATCCTGGATGGATATTGACCTCATTCCATCAGTAGAGGATGCCTGGATGTTCTTCAAAAGTGCTTTTCTCTACATCTTAAATAAGCATGCCCCATTCAAAAAATCCAGAACTAAGAACAGATATAGCCCCTGGTTCACCCCAGACTTGACTGCCCTTGATCAGCACAAAAACATCCTGTGGCGTACTGCATTAGCATCGAACAGCCCCCGCGATATGCAACTTTTCAGTGAAGTCAGGAACCAATATACACAATCAGTTAGGAAAGCAAAGGCTAGCTTTCTCAAACAGAAATGTGCATCCTGTAGCACTAACTCCAAAAAGTTTTGGGACACTAAAGTCCATGGAGAATAAGAGCACCTCCTCCCAGCTACCCACTGCATTGAGGCTAGGAAATACTGACACCACCGATAAATCTACGATAATAGAGAATTTCAATAAGCATTTTGCTACGGCTGGCCATGCTTTCCACCTGGCTACCCCTACCCCGGCCACCAGCTCTGCACCCTCCGCTGCAACTTGCCCATGCCCCCCCCGCTTCTCCTTCACCCAAATTCAGATAGCTGATGTCCTGAAAGCGCTGCTAAATCTGGACCCCTACAAATCAGCTGGGCTAGACAATCTGGACCCTTTCTTTCTAAAATTAGCCGCCGAAATTGTCGCAACCCCTATTACTAACCTGTTCAACCTCTCTTTCGTATCGTCTGAGATCCCCAGAGATTGGAAAGCTGCCGCGGTCATCCCAGTCTTCAAAGGGGGTGACACTCTAGATTCAAACTGTTACAGACCTATTTCCATCCTGCCCTCCCTTTCGAAAGTATTTGAAAGCCAAGTTAACAAACAGATCACCGACCATTTCGAATCCCACCGTACCTTCTCCGCTATGCAATCTGGTTTCCGAGCTGGTCATGGGTGCACCTCAGCCACGCTCAAGGACCTAAACAATATAATAACCGCGATCGATAAAAGACAGTACTGTGCAGCCGTCTTCATCGACCTGGCCAAGGCTTTTGACTCTGTCAATCACTGCATTCTTATTGGCAGACTAAATAGCCTTGGTTTCTCAAATGACTGCCTCGCCTGGTTCACCAACTACTTCTCAGATAGAGTTCAATGTGTCAAATCGGAGGGCCTGTTGTCTGGACCTCTGGCAGTCTCTATGGGGGTGCCACAGGGTTTAATTCTCGGGCTGACTCTATTCTCTGTGTATATCAATGATGTCGCTCTTGCTGCTGGTGACTCTCAGATCCACCTCTACTCAGACGACACCATTTTGTATACATCTGGCCCTTCATTGAACACTGTTAACAAACCTCCAAACGAGCTTCAATGCCATACAACACTCCTTCCGTGGCCTCCAACTGCTCTTAAACGCTAGTAAAACTAAATGAATGCTCTTAAATCGAACGCTGCTTGCACCCACCCGCCCGACTAGAATCACTACTCTTGGCGGGTCTGATTTAGAATATGTGGACAACTACAAATACCTAGGTGTCTGGTTAGACCGTAAACTCTCCTTCCAGACTCACATTAAGCATCTACAATCCAAAGTTAAATCTAGAATCTGCTTCCTATTTCGCAACAAAGCCTCCTTCACTCATGCTGCTAAACATGCCCTCGTAAAACTGACTATCCTACCGATCCTTGACTTCGGCGATGTCATTTACAAAATAGCTTCCAACACTCTACTCAGCAAATTGGATGTAGTCTATCACAGTGCCATCCGTTTTGTCACCAAAGCCCCATATACTACCCACCATTGGGACCTGTATGCTCTCGTTGGCTGGCCCTCACTACATATTCGTCGCCAAACCCACTGGCTCCAGGTCATCTATAAATCACTTCTAGGCAAATCCCTGCCTTATCTTAGCTCATTGGTCACCATAGCAACACCCACCTGTAGTCTGCGCTCCAGCAAGTATATCTCACTGGTCATCCCCAAAGCCAACACCTCCTTTGGACGCCATTCCTTCCTTCTCTGCTGCAAATGACTGGAACGAACTGCAAAAATCTCTGAAGCTGGAGACACTTATCTCCCTCATTAACTTTAAGCATCAGTTGTCAGAGTAGCTTACCGATCACTGCACCTGTACACAGCCCATCTGTAATTAGCCCACCCAACTACCTCATCCGTATATTGTTATTTACATTGTTATTTATTTTGCACCCCAGTATCTCTATTTGCACATCATCATCTGCACATCTATCACTCCAGTGTTAATACTAAATTGTAATTATTTTGCACTATTTATTGCCTTACCTCCATAACTTACTACATTTGCACACACTGTATATAGATTTTCTATTGTGTTATTGACTGTATATTTTGTTTATTCCATATGTAACTCTGTGTTGTTGTTGTTTTTAATGGCACTGCTTTATCTTGGCCAGGTCGCAGTTGTAAATGAGAATTTGTTCTCAACTGGCTTACCTGGTTAAATAAAGGTGAAATAAAAAAAATAAAAAAAATAAAAAAATAAAAAACTGAAATAGGTGGCAAAACAGTGCCATTAGGCGAAATAACACCTAGATCTTAGTTGATCCCCATTATGGCAACAGTAGGGCATGTGTCATATTCATTGTTTCCTGAATAACTAGTCTTGTGATTTTCAATTTCCCCTGCTATTCACTGGCGTGGGCTACTAGCAACAGTCACAAGACATGACACATGTGACCATGGCGCACCAATTAGCCCGCAGTACAGGGCAAAAACATGGTGCTGCATAATCTAAATAATAACGACCTCAAAGAGAAAACAAACATGTTATTCAGCCTACCTGGTCTGATGATATGTTTTTGTAGATTTCCATAAGGTTGCCGTAGGTGCCATAACAGTTTTGGCACACTTTGACAGGGCGCGCGGCGGACACCAAACAATTCACATACGTTGAATATCGCTGCCCAAAAATAGCCAGCAGCTCGAAGCAGTAATCGCTGACCTCCAGATCTTCTGGAAACGCCGACAACAGGTTGAGCGAGAACTGGGAACCGAGACCAGGGTGAAACACGGGCGACTGAGGCACAACTACCGCGGCGCGTTGCTTCAAGCCGTTTGCGCTCAGCTCTGAACCCGGGATGGTGGTGTTTACAGCGACAATAGACGTTTGAGCATTTCCGTAATATACCAACGCTATCAATAACGCACCCACCTGAACAATAAACATGTTTGTGAAGTTTTAAGAAGCACCTTTCAAACGCTCACACTTCATAACAGTCCATCACTTCTTGTTCCTGTCTACTATTGTGGTCATGTGATAATGAGGATCTCGAGAGAACTGGGTGGGAGCTAGCGCTTTCTTGTGCTAATTCAGAATGTTATTCCGAAAGTAGTTATTTTTACAACATACTCGATTAAGCAATATCAACTGATCGTATAACTGTAATTGTATCATTTTGCAGTGAACCGAATTGCTCCTGTAAGTCGCTCTGGATAAGAGCGTCTGCTAAATGATAAAAAATTAAACACATGCATTTGTCATACTGTAGCGAACTTTGTAACCCTCTCGCTCTCAAATGAGTTTCTCTGCTGCGCTAAATAAGGTCAATGTCAAGGTGGCTAATTGGAGATCAGAGGAGACATGATCACCTTTAGTGCCCCCCTTACTAGATCGGATGGATTGGAGAAGGATTCTGCTCCTCTCAAAACACAAACACACACAAAACGCACCTGCATCCAGCAAGTCACCTGCGTTTCCTCATGTTGGGTAATTTGGCCAATTGGGTCTTTGATTGCTTATTTGATGCTTCAAATTAGTGAAAGATTGTAGACAAAAGAGAGAACTAATATATATATATATATATATATATTAAAGGTGTGTGTGTGTGAGTGAGAGAGAGAGAGAGAGAGAGTTAATGACAGACTGTGTGAAGATGAGTGTGACCCTGCGTGTTGGAGAGGAGAGCGGCAATATGGAGATATGTGCACCTCCTGATCCCGTATCACTCGCCTCCTCATTATTTAGGCCTACCGCCGCGCGTTTTGACACCATGCAATTTTCAAATGTGCGCATGGCACGACGCAAATAATTTCGGAGTCAAGGTAAATTATCTGGGCTCAAATTCTGATTGTGATAATTGTCAAAAAACCCTTGAATCAAGCCACTGCAGTCAATGGTCTTTAATGCGAAATTAGTGGCTCTTGATAACTTGCAGTCCGCAGCAATTTCGCAGTCATCAGAGCCTAATGAAAATAAGGGGGAGAGAATGCGTGGCATTAGGGCCTATTCTAATGCCTGCTCAGAAGTCTGGCGATAATATGCCGTTTTTATATGGATTCTGGCCTCCGGAGCACCTTCTGCTCATCATAAACCGTGTTCATTTAATTGTTCAGATGTTCATCCCTTTTGTGATTTTGAAAGGAAAATGACTTGAATAGTTTATAATGTGTAGGCTAGTAGATAATAATCTCACCCCAAAAAATCCTGAACAATATTTGCAATGGCTCTGCAACGCCTGGATACTACACTGCAACGATAATAATAATAATAATAATAATAATAATAATAATAATAATAATAATAATATACATGTATTAGCCATTCACTATAAACCCATTGTGCATCAAAAGTAGTCAATGCTTTTCCGTCTTTTACTGAGCAAGACATCTATTTTGACATTGTCATATTCAGGAAAGGACCTCAACTAAAATCGGAATACCATTAGCCCAAGAGATGAGTAGCCTAATGTCTAAATGTCACCCCGAATCCCCCTCCCCTAATTTGCCTACTATAGTAGGTATGAAATATATTTAATATAATATACAGCCAAAATATTAGGCCTAGCTGCAGTAGTAGGCTACATGATCTGTGTCAGTGTGCATGAGTGTGTCTGTCTGTTTCCTTCTTACCTTGACTGCACCGCAGCAGATGATCTGTCATTTCTCACAGACACTGCACTCGGACCAGCTGAACCAGAACTTTTAGCAAAGTCGGTAATTTCACACATTTAGCAGTGTCAGCCTCAATAGCCCTTTTTTGGTCTCTAACGTTTTGACTGACAGAGTCAGGGCGGGTCTCACTCTCTTTGATGAAGCACGTTTGACTTTGAATGTGAATTTGTGCCATCTCAGCTCAGCCAATCAGAAAACCGGGCCGGCCAATCTTGGTAGGGGGACCGGCAGTTGCCCAGAGCCAAATGCTCAATATAAAACATTATTACAACCATAACCACGGGAAGTAGGGGTGCTGAGGGTGCTTTTCTTTTTACACAAAAAACGGCTGCTATTTCTGTCTGCAGAATAGCACAAAAGTTGTTTAAAAAAACAAGTTAATGGGCCGCTGGCAGTGTACAGAATTGTTATATACTGTATATATAATTATTGTACATTTCCACCAGCCCATCCTAATAAAATATGTTCCGGTCCTTCTGGCATTTGCCAGAATTGCCAGACGGCCAATCCGCCTATGGCAGCAGCTCTGTAGAGATGAGATGATGACTCAAGTGATGATAAAGTGAACTCATGTGAATAAATGATGGTTAATAAGGGATAAGCAGTAATGGACAGTCATTATCACCATGGGACTTTTATTAATTTCTTTATTATGTGTTGTTACAGCATTCAACCCACATAATGCATAGTGCATTTAATGTTTGTTTTTTAATAATCGAAAACCGTGATAATTTTTGTTATAATGAACCGACATGAACTGACCTAAAAAGCACTAATCGTTCAGAACTTTACACACAGACAAAAATTGCTCGGACCTTGCAGGGGGCCCGCTAAACTGTGCTATGCCACTGGTCTGCGCGTGTGTGCACGAATGCATGCGTCTGTTTGTGTGCCTGCATGTCACTGCTGAAGGCAATTCATTATTTAGTGTTGGCAGGTATTATAAAGCTGGTTAGGCTACAGACACACCTTCTGTCTCATTCTGTTTGGAAACTTGACCACAAAATCTATATGAATGGATGGAAATTAGTCAATGATCACAGTTTTGTTATGTTATTATTGGTCATAACCGTTAGGATAGGCCTAACTGACTTTAAAGAATGTTATTGATATGTTTTTGTGATGGAAAATGATATACTTAAGCTAAGCAAAACGATAACTGCTATCATGATTAAGCTATATCTGCTTTAGGATCATAGCCTTTTTAACAATTACACATTTCTCATAATTGTGTTTATTGTGCACTAAACGACCCCCCTCCCATGCTAATGATTATAACTTATAATAAGGACAATATCTGGTCTTTAGGATCATAGCCGTGTCAACAATTCCATATTTCTCATAATTGTGTTTATTGTGCACTAAACGGCCCCCTCCCTTCCCTTCCCTTCCCTATACTAGACGGGTCTCTGCGCGTCAAACGTGTTTGGCCCAAATGGCATCCTATTCCTTATATAGTGCCCTACTTTTGACCAAAACTCTATGGGTCCTGGTCAAAAGTAGTGCACTAAATAGAGAATAAGGTTCCATTTTGGACGCACAATGGACTGACGGCCCGGAGGCACTAACGTCATGAAGAATCTGTTCAGCGAAACCTGCCAGGTTATGCAAATCATGTGTAAATCTTCAGAAGTATAGGTTTCTGTACCAAATGACACCCTATTCCCTATATAGTGCACTACTTTTGACCATGGCCCATAGGGGGAATATGGTGCCATTTAGGACGCTGTCATGCTGTGAAAATCATGTGTAAATCTTCAAACAAAATAACCTTATTATAAACTCACTCGCTGGGCTAAAGAGACTGAGATTCAGAAGCGAATAAACATTGATAAAACAACTAAAATACACAGTCCCCGAATTGACCTTTATTGTAATACATGATGACTTGTGTTTAGTAAAAAGCACTGTATAAAGATCTAGTAGATGGCTATTGCCTTATGTGTTATAAATGCCAATCTAAGAACTTGTTAGGCCATATTGCATGACTGTCGGTTAATTCCGTGGCGAATGGAAAGGATGGAACCTACTGAAGGGGTTCATTAGCATGTGATAGATACCGAATCCCGCTCCACGAGGACAAAAATCCCTAATTAGGCTCGCAGAGTGTCTCCCATCGCCTCAAGGGCTCATCAGTAAGGTGATGAGGCAGGAGGAGACCGCCTTGTGATTCCACGTTCGATAAGAAATCATTAGTAAGCCTATGAGACCAAGAGAGTATCATCTTATTCTCAAACGGATATAAATGTATATAGCATAGGCCTATTAATTGAATAACCTTAATATCCATAATATAAATTACAGCAAATACACACAAGCTAAGAGGACTGCATGCATAAATCTCATTTATATTTTTGAAATGTATTAAGCTACATAGCCTTGAGCGCAATTCCCCCCCCCCCCCTTCTAAATAGGCCTATTTCAGCATATTGGACTAAGCAACTTCAGCAACATTTTCTAAATTCTAATTTTTTCAAATCTTTCAAAGCATTTTTGGGATTATCTGTGATATGTCATTTGTGGCTGGTGATGGGGAGTAGTGAATTGCATGTAGCCCTGTTCAACTAGTTATTTAATTATATTTTGTTGTAGCTTGGTGGTAGTTGAGCGAAATTCAAATCTTGGTAGTGTTTTTAGTAGTTAATTCCCTTTTTGCATATAGTGGTGTACAGCAAATATGGGTAAAGTAGGCAAGATTTGCTATCTTTTTCGGCATCAGACCTGCCTAATTTTCACTTGAAACATATTTGTTGTGTTTAATAGGTTAAATTACACATTATGTTAACATCTGACACCAGAGTGATATGTTCTTGCAATGTGTAGTCTATGACATTTTAGATTTAGATATGATCATTTTTCACGAAGTAGTTTGCAAGTAGTGAACTACTTTTTCAAAATAACTTTAGTTAAGTAAACTACATGTTTCTTAAGGGTAGGTTTAGTGTATCTTAACTTCTTGCAGCTTGGTAAACTATATTTTCAGAGTAGCTTCCCCAACACCGTTTGTAACTGTATACAATAGGCCTATCAAATGTCCTACACGGTATGGGGTTGGTATGAACTTTACAGTATTTTACAGACAGCTCAGCTGCTAATAAAATTCTGGATTTCATTTTACAGTACACCAACTGTAATATAAATACGGTATCAAAGCAAGTACTGTGTAATGACACACAGTACAATACCATAAAATGTTCTGTATTATACTGTAAAAAAAAGTTAATATTACCATAATCAGAATGAATGAATGAAATTCATTGGGGGGAGGGGTTTGTATTTCACAGGATTTTACTGTAATTACAAGGGATTGGTGCAAGTAGCTTAATACAGTATATTAATTAAAATAAATTATATCAC